TCCACTGTCTAATGCTGGGAATCATGACAACTACTATAGCAGACGACTTCAGACTAGGTGCGTTCTACTAAGTCTCCCAAACAAAAAGACCAAATTGCGATAACGAGGTCACCTTACTTTTATAAATCAAAAGGAAACTGCGACCACACCAGAGGCCACAACATCTTGGTCTTCATATCCTCAGTTTTTGAGTTCGTGAGACTACATGTAAAATGTAAGTGGCTCAATAAAACAAGAAATATGGCAAATGCTTAGATTTATTTTCGTCTAATAAATTCCGATGAAAAAAATCCGTGAGGTGGAGAAATTTCTTCAGAAAAAGTAAGGGAAAAATTTTTCACCTAAAGCCTTATGGGCTTAATCCCCAGTCCCCACCAAGAGGAATCAAGTAGTTTCTGAATGTGTACATGGTCTTAGTCACATTTTAACTTTGTAAGTGATGGCCGAATCTATACGATACTTATAAGTGACGCTTTTACTTGATAAATTCACAAAATTGTGAAACTATTTGCATGCAGACTTATAAACTCGATCTGCAATTCCATATGCTCTGCTGTACATAAATATGACCACATATAGAAATATATCATCACGACAAGTCTCTTAGCTGGGTAGATGTATGATTTGGATTATGATTGTTTGCCCACTTGATTAATGCTGAAATATCCATTTCAAATGGGTAATATATGCTTCTTTTTCAACTAGATAGACTTTTTTTAAATTAAAGTTAGGCTACACTTCTGAGTGAAATTCCCCGAAAAAATATGATTCAGCAAAAGATACTTAGTAAGATTTTCTGAATGCCATCAACGTCGCTCCAGCTATTGATGGTCTCATCTAGTATCTCTACTCAATAAAAACAACTAATGGAAGTTATTTTTCAGACCAAGATGTCCGTATGTTGACTATCTGGACCCTAAATCAATGAAATAGACCAATATCCACCACATAAGATTAATCTCATTAATGTCTGAAAGGAAAGGAAAGATTCAGAGAATTTAGTCGTTAAAATAAATACTCAAGTGTAAAGCCATTTCAATAAATAGTAAGGTTATCATGAAACAAGAGATTCCTCGAAACCCACTTTTTTTCGCATATATCCCAAATTCGCCTGTTAACTAAGTTTGAAAGAATTAAATTAGTCCTCTTCTGCAGGCAATAGCCATCCTATCCGTTTTAAAATAAAGCTGGTAATCAAAGTATAACTGGAAATCTGGGGGATATAGGAGTGAAAATTTAAATGAGTCATCCTTACCTATCGTTACCTACCGTCGAATTATGTTTACCTAATGATATCATTAATTTGTTGTGCTGTGGTCTATAAAGTAAGCTGAAGAGAAGCTAAAATACGCATGCTTACAGTAATTCCGTTTTTTTAAAAATTTAAAAAATATTTGTGTATTATAGCTGAAGGCATTGAAACCATGAATAACAGCAGAAGAAAGGAAATTAGCATTATGCAAATAACATGTTTTTCAAACTTACCTCTTCACTAGCTAAAGAACCGGAAAGACTGTGAGAAGTGTCTTTTCGACTGAGCAGAGAGGCACCACTCGCTGTCTCAACTGACGAGTTTCGTTTCCCTTCTAGAGGAAGTGGGCTATTCGCAACAACTGCCAGCATGCTGTCCTCGTACTTGCAAGATAATTGGCCGGTACCATTGTTATCGCCTCTTGATTGTCCGTCATAGCCAAGCGGATCGATGGCGCTTTCGGTCATTCGCAGACGACGAGTGGCATTATTGGAGCTAGAAGCATTGAGTCCATGAAGACTCTCTGAGTTGTTGTGGCTAGTATGATGCTGATGCAAGTGATGTACATGGTGTGCATGATGGTGAGACCGTAAAAGGGGCGTGGTGCCATGATGATGCGAGTGTAAATGGGGGCCTCCACTAACCCCATAGCCACTATCTTCAGACCTCCGACCATGACCCTCTTCTAGGGTGTTGGAAACTGAGTTATCAGAGAAAGTGGACGGCATGCTGGCTTGAGTGCTACAGCTGAAGAGGCGTCTTCGTGCTCTGTCGTAGACCTCACGACAAGTGAGACGTACATCAAAAGCATAGTCTTTTCCTATAGACAATATAAAATAAGTTTATGATAGCTTGTCATTTTTGCCCCCTCCCCATGAACATCAATGATTTTTAAAAGTTTTGAATTGTGCAATTTGTAAACCAAAAATGAGATAAGTGAATCCGAAAATTTAGAGAGTTTCATAGGGATGAGAAAGAACAACTAAGGTTGATGATATTTTAGGCATAATTATTATATCTGACAGGAGCCGAACCCATGGAGTAAGGATTCAAAGGTGCGCCGGTTACTCCAATAGGAGACCCTAATGCTATTGAGTTAGAGGTACAACATGCAGGTAGACGAGCCAAGATAAAGCAAGGAAAGTTTTCTTCATAAAATAGCCAAATAAATGATGGGGTACTTCATTGAATAGATAGGTAGGATTGTATATAATCATCCTTTCTGTCTTAAAGCTTGGTCAGTTTTAGTGAAGCATAGCTCCACGCTCTGACGATGCCTCTTACATGACAGAAAAAGTCTCAGCAAGGATTACTCAAAGACAAAAAATTGTGAGCCGAGGAATTATCGACGCAGATCTACAGTCATAACTCCAAGACAATCCT